GTTTGTGTGTGTGTGTGTGTGTGTGTGTGTGTGTGTGTGTGTGTGTGATGGGTGAGTGTATGCAGGCGTGTGTGTATGTGTGTGCTGATAGAATCTCAGAACTTGAAAAGAGAGAGGAGAAGGAAGATGAGAAAGGAACTTCGCTTTTTCTCTGTAGACTTCTCTATTTGCATCAGGCTGAATGTATTGTTTCTTCACCTATTTTCCCAAGTTTTCTAGATAAAACACTGTTACAATCCCTGAAGGCAGGAAAAATGTGGGGGTGGGTGCTCTATTTCCTCCCCTGGGACATAGTTCTGGCTAAAGGTGAACCGAAAAGTAGCAATCCCCTTTTTGGTTATGGTAAAGCACAGTGCTTCAAATAAAGGTTAGGTAGCTAAGTAAAGGAGTAAAACAGTCCGCAGAGGAAGACAGTAGGGAGTAGTAGAGACTGTGGCAAAATGGGTGCACACAGCCACTCTACAGGAGTAGCTGCTCCTCAGTTCTAGCCAATCATTGTATGAGAGATGTGGAGACAATCCTGCCCACTCTTCTGCTTTCTCAAGACATATTAGATATCTAGATTTCAATGTGAAATCTACCAGTGTTCTTAAAATGTTGGCGCAAATCTTTAAAAACACTATATAGGCCAAAGCCACAGATCTGCTGGTCAGATCTTTCCCTGGGGCCATGAGTTGTGACTTAGTGCTAACCAGCCCAATGCTGACTGTGCAGTGTTAAGTCCTGTTGACTCCCCTCAGGCCCGAGGTCAAGATGGGTGGATGGGTGCTGTCGGCAGGCCCAAGAGCTGGGGAGGGGCCCAGGCTTCACCTTTCCCGGATGAATTCTGACATCTCCTTCTGCATCTGTTTGCCCTTCAGTTGTTTCTGAAGCAGCAGTTCAAACCCAGCCACGGTGCCATTGCCTTGGGGGTCCTTCTTATCAGCCTGCAAAGGAAACAGAAGCCCAAGAGTTTAGGGGATGGCCTGATGTCTGCAGTCAGGGAGAATGGAGTAGAGAAAAGATAGAACCCTGAAAGTTCCCAGGTGCACCTGGCAACCCCAAGCACAGCACAGAAGGGGGAACGGGAGCAGCTAACTCTGCTGCCCTGACTTGGATCTCTTGTGGTGGCCCCGCTCCCTTGGTGCTTTCTGATGCTTAGGATCTTGCAGCTGCTGCCACCCCGAACTTTCCCAACCCAGGGTCCAAGAGGAAGAAGGGCATGGAGCCATAAGTGCTGGCTCTGAAGCCCGGTGGTCTCTGACTTCCAACCAGGTGGTTGTGGAGGCTGGCTTGACCCTTGGGGACTCTTGCTGTACTGACACCCAGTTGAGCTGTCTGTGTGTGACCTCGGAGGCAGGTGCCCCAGCCTTAGCCATTTCTTCTGCCAGCTTGTTGCACTAGTTGGGCAGTGACATCCTCTAATGCAGTGGTCCCCAACCTTTTGGGCATCAGGAAGACTATTTTTTCATGGACAGGGGTTGGGGGGCAGGGGGAAGGATGCTAATCTATATTTGTAGCCGCTCCCCAGTGGTAGCATTACCACCTCAGCTCCACCACAGATCTTCAGGCATTAGATGCTCATAAGGAGTGTGCAGCCTAGATCCCTAGCATGTAGAGTTCACAGTAGGGTTTGAGCTCCTATGAGAATCAAGGGCAGTTGCTGATCTGACAGGAGGTGAAGCTCAGGTGGTAATACAAACGATGGAGAGCAGTTGTAAATACAGATGAAGCTTCCCTGGCCCACCACTCACCTCCCGCTGTGTGGCCCAGTTCCTAATAGGCCACAGACCCCCTGCTCTATCACACACTCATAAAAGATCATAGAAGAGAAAAAAAAAAGATGTAACAGGTTGCTGGTGGGAAAGTGGATTGAAGGGAAGCCAGAACACAGCAGGCTGCCTTGAAATCCTGGCAAGGTGACCTCGGGCAGGTTCTTTCCTCACTCTAGGTCTGCTGCAAAACTGGGGAAATAATGGCACCCACCTCATATGGTCACTTCAGGGTAAATGACATAGTAAACAGCTTGGCACATAGTACGTACTCTATAAATGGCATCTTGTTATTAGTTTCTTTTAAATAAAAGTCAGGACCTGGGGAAGATGGCCTTGTCAATGAAATGGGGACTTAGGACCCAATTACTTTTGCAAGCAAATATTTCATTTGTTTCATTTAACATTTCAAAATAAAATAATTGCCTTTGTTTCACTTTGCCTGTACTTCCTCGAGCACACCTAACACCCCTTTTCTGACCTTCCCCTGCCCAACATTCATCAGGCTGCTCTGCTAATGCCTCTCATGACAGGGAGACCACCACCATATGGGGTGAACCATTTCCTCCTGGGGCTGCTCTTACAGTTTCAAAATGTCCGCATGTACCCTGAAGATCTGTGCACGTCACTCTATGAAAGCCACATCTTGATGAAAAAGCAAGAGGAAAACTCCAAATACTGAGCCCCAATCTGCCTTCCCACAAGGATGGATATGCTGAGGGATCTGTCCACCCTCAGGAAAACCAGTCAGAAGAAATAGGCTTTAATGACTGTGTCAGTAGAGAGAAGACTTCTACTCGAGGAAAAGGCCTAGATGGTGAGGGAGACAAGTGGCTTGAAGATTAAGTCTCAGAGTCCCCAGAGAACTTGAGTTACGATGGGAACCCAAGCGTTGCTCTCCTGGATGGGCCCGTGGGTGAAATCACACACTCCCTCCAGCTTTCCAAGGCTCCAGATCCCACACACTTCCCTGCAGCTCCTGGGATGCCCATTACCGGAGCTCAACCCGCCCTTCCTTGAACACGCCACTTACTGCATCCCTTTTTAGGGATACTGTTTCCAAGCCTAGCTATGCCTTTCTGTTTCTGCTGCTGCCACTGTCTTTTCTAGTCTCCTTCACTCACCTGTCCACTCCCACTCCTGCCTACACAATGCATGTGAATCAGCTCACATTGTACTTCTGCTTAAGATCCTCCAACATCCTCCTACTGCAAATAGAATAAAGTTCAACACCCTTACCGGGGCCTAGAGAGTCCTGCACACTCGCCCCTGCTCAGCCTGCCTCTGAGGTCACCTGCCCAGTTCTGTCTGATGTCAGAGTCAGGCCCTTTTTTAACTGTAAGCTCTGCACAGATCTCTGTCCTGAAAGCAACAGAGCACCAGGGATTGTCCCTTGGCAGAGAGGCAAGAGGAATCTTTGCATATGTTCTTCTTCTCTTTGCGGGGACGGCAGAAATTCATTCTATCGCCCAGGCTGGAGTGCAGTGGTGTGATCCTGGTTCACTGTGGCCTCAGCCTCCTGCGATCAAGCAATCGTTCCACCTCAGCCTCCTGAGTAGCTGAAAGTACAGGTGCATGTCACCACATCCAGCTAATTTTTGCACTTTTTTGTAGAGATGAGGTCTCACTATATTGCCCAGGGTGGTTTTGAACTCCTGGGCTCAAGCAATCCTCCGGCTTGGACCTTCTAAAGTGCTGAGATTATAGACGTAAGCCACCACGCCCTGTATATTTTCTAAGGTACAGGTGATTTGGTAGAAAGAAAAAAAGCACTTTTGTCCAGTACTTGGGTTATCAAATCTAAAAAAAGATAATCCATTCTGCATGGTGGTGAAAACAAGTTTTTATTTACTGTATTTGTTGTTCCCAGAGTCTTTGCATACTTTTTGAAGTGTACAGTTAAGTGTTTTTTAATATGTTCACAAGCTTGTGCAACCATCACTACTATCCGATTCCAGAAAGAGGTAATCTAATTTTGAAAGTCATAGCTGACTCTAAAATGCAAATACCCAGGATGTTCCCCAGAGTTTCTGAGGTGTAAGACTACATTTTTAAAATATATATTTTTAAATTTATTTAAATTGTGGAAAAATAAACTTAACATAAAATTTACCATTAAACTATTTGTAAGTGTACAGTTCAGGGGCATTAAGTACATTTACATTGTTGTGCAATCATCACCGTCATCCACGCACAAAACTTTTGTTCCTCTTGCAAAACCAAAACCCTACGTCTATTAAACCCTATGTAAAAGTTTTGGAATCATGGGATTATTAAAGCTGGAGGTGGTTGTAGATCCTTGCCACTACTTCCTCATGATTTTGATGGGAACAGTGAGGCCCAAGGAAATGAAGCACATGTCCAAGTTCACTTGCATCAGTGACAGAGCAAGTATGAGACCAGATTCGTTTATTGAGGCTGATTCTAGTGTCATGCCTTCACTGAGTATCAAAGAAAATGACCCTCAGTTTACCCTACATCCTGGCTGGGGCTTCTGTTTTGCCATGAACAAAAACCCTGCTGACTCTCTAAGATTTCTGGAATGATCTAGAATCCAAGAGAGTCTTGAGTTTCCATCTCCAATGCTAAGTCTACTGCCATCCCTTTAGGCTTCAACAAGGCCCCTATGCTTTGAGTGCCAGGCCCCTCCTACCCATTCTAAGGTGTCTGCGCCTAGTCAATGGCGGCCACAGTGTAGGGGAAACTGAGTCACCACATACCCAGAAGTAGTCGCAGTAACTCCACTCGGTTGGTTTCAGCAGCTGCTGTTCTGGCATTGTGTCTGGGTGAGGGAATGTCACGCAGTTTATCTGTAGGACACAGAACAAGGAAAAAAAACACACAACTTCAGTGGGGGGTGGGAAGAAACGGGGATGCCTTGCTCACAGGACACAGCGGTGAAGAGACTCCCCTATAGGGCCAGTTGGATGGACCACTCGGGGATGCTCACAAACTCCCATAGCTAGCATTTCACATGAGGGGCAACAGGCACTGACACCCACTCCAGAGGGGCTATGAATCAGTGCAACCCCTCTGGAGGGTGTTTAGCAGGCTCAAAATTGCAAATGTCCAGTGCTCCTGGCCCAGTAATTGCACTACTAAGAGTCTTTCCTATGGACACATTTATTTGCACACGTGTACAGTGACCTGCAGATACAGTGCTGCATTTCACAATAGCACTACTTATAGTAGCTAAAGGTTAGAACATAATTCCAATGTCTATCAGTAGGGAAACGGTTAAACAAAGCAGGAGATAGATGGACATCTATAGAAGTTGTAAAGGACACAGTGATAAAGTTGATCTGTACTGATAAGGAAAGGGTGCCAGAACAGTTAGGTGGGGATAAAAAAAAGCAAGAGAACAGTATTACGATATGCTACTATTTTTTTTTTAAACAAGGAGGGGACATATAGTTGACCCTTGAACAACACATAGGTTTGAACTGTGTAGGTTCATATATAAGTGGATTTTCTTCCATCTCTGCCACCTCTGAGACAGCAAGACCAATCCCTTCTCTTCCTCCACCTACTCAATGTGACAATGAAGAGGATAACCTTTATGATGATCCATTTCCAGTTGGTGAACAGGAAATATATTTCTTCCTCATGATTTTCTTAATTACATTTTCTTTTCTATAGCTTACCTTATTGTAAGAATACAGTATATAACACATATAACATACAAAATACGTGTTAATCAACTGCTTGTTACAGATAAGGTTTCCAGTCAACAGTAGGCTCTCAGTTGGTAAGTTTTGGGGGAGTCAAGTCATACTTGGATTTTTGACTGCACAGGGGGTCTGTACTCCTAATCCTTGCATTATTCAAGAATCAACTGTACACATGTTTGATTATGTATGTACAGAGTAAATTGTATGAGTGAGGGCCGGGGTGAGAGGTTTTCTTATAAATTTTATATCACGATATGTATTATATGAATAAATACAGCTTAAAATTATAATCAGGGTGCATGCTGAGGCTGGACATAGCTAAGGAGAGTGAACTGCAGAAATTTCTGGGTTGTCTTGGACTTTTCTGCTCGAACATGTCTGTAGTGCTCCCGAGCTCTCCCCACTCTGGAAGTGGCCCCGGCCCGCTCTGTGGAGGTGGCTTTGTTAATACTCCTGCTGACATGGCTTCAAGCCCCAAATCCTCCCTCTCCTATGGAGCTGGCTAATTTGTTTCCTCTGTGGCAGCAAGGCCTAAGCCTTATGAGTCTTTAACCCCTCCTCACAGCTAAAATACCTGCTGAAGTAGATGTCAGATGTTAAAGAACGGTGCAGAAAACCCTGAGTTTTGGGCCCAGGACACAAACTCCATGCCACACAGGACATACCAGCCAGTGGGGCACCCTTATGTCATAGAAACTGCAGCTCAGAAGGGAGGATGAACAGCCTCTGCTTAGTGCAGGGGTCAGGGTCTGTGGAGATATGTCCAAGGGGTAGATTCATCTCAGCTCTTGCCAACTGTTGTCAGATTATGCGGTGACTAGAGAGAAGCTAAAAATGGGGATTTTTTTTTTTTTTGAGTTGGATTCTCACTCTGTCACCCAGACTGGAGTGCAGTGGCCACTGTGGCCTTGACCTGCTGGGCTCCGGCGATCTTTCCACCTCAGCCTTCCAAGTAGCTGGAACAACAGGCATGTGCTACCACGCCTGGCTTATTTTTTATTTATTGTAGAGATGAGGTCTTGCCAAGTTGCCTGGGTAGGTCCCGAACCTGCGGGCTCAGGCAATCCACTCACCTCAGCCTCCCAAACACGGGATTACAGGTTGAACCACCGAGCCCGGCTAAAATGGGGATTTTTATGTGAAGTGTTTCAATTGTTAAGTGTTGGCAATTAATTCAAAGTTTAAAATAATTTTTTTTTTTTTTGAGTCGGAGTCTCACTCTGTCACCCAGACTGGAGTGCAGTGGCCACTCCCGGCCACTGCAGCCTCGACCTGCTGGGCTCCGACGATCCTTCTGCCTCAGCCTTCCGAGTAGCCAGAATTACAGGCACACGCTACCATGCCCGGCTGATTTTTTAAATTTATTGTAGAGATGAGGTCTCGCCAAGTTGCCCAGGCGGGTCTCGAACCCGCGAGCTCAGGCAATCCACTCACCTCAGTCTCCCAAAGCAGGGGATTACAGGCTGAGCCACCAAGCCCGGCTAAAATGGGGATTTTTATGTGAAGTGTTTCAATTGTTAAGTATTGGCAATTAATTCAAAGTTTAAAATATTAATAATCCTAATTTTGAAAAGACACCACGTAAGCCCAACAAACTCTTCAGTCTGTGAATTTAGGCTCATGGACCTCAGTCAAGATCTCTGGTTTAGGAGCTTGAGGGCATCTTGAAGTACATCTATTTTCATCCCCTCCTTGACTGTCAGGGGCACAGGCCTCACCTGCAGTCTGGGAAGAAGGCCAGTCAAAGTAAGGAGTCCTCCCCTCCCAGATCCTGACATGTGACAGAGGCAAGGGTTGGGGTGCCCACTCTAGATAGAAACACGAAGCAACAGGGAGGATCAGGGACCTTGGCCTCTTGTTGGGGAAACGTTTTCCCACAAAAGAAGAACTTTAACATGACGTGAGGAGGCTTGGCCAAAGGTGGGGTAGGACAGGAGGGGGAAATAGGTCTTGCCCAGCCTCATCTTCCAGGATCTTTTTGAGATGATCCACCCTTGAAGACAGGATGCTACTGCCCACTTCAGGATGCCCATGGAGACAGATCTTGTTAGCCTGGAGGGGGGATGGTACCAGGGGCAGCCCTGCCAATGACAAATCCTGGCTGGCTCCAAACCCTACCATCTGAAAGGCCATGGAAGGTCTGAAGAGGGCTGAGACCCTTCCTAGGTACCACTCAGTCCCCTTCTCTGTTCTGGAGCCAAGGTTGAACATGCCTCAGAATCACCTGGAGGACACAGGTTGCTGGGTCCCCTCCCCAGAGTTTCTGATTCAGGAGCTCTGGGTGAGATCTGAGCTCCCAGGTGATGCCGGCCCTCTGGAGACCACACTTTGATAACCAGTGTTCACGATGCATTCAGCAGGGAAGGAGGCACCCCATGAGGGAGGGTTTGTACCCACCTCCACAGAAGACCCAAAGATGAACAAGCCATGGAGCCCTGCTCTTCAGACCCTGCTTGGCCTTCCAGAGAGATGCCTACTTCAGGGACTAGAAGGGGGGCTGGGGGCTAGAAGGTGAGGGGTCTCAAATATGGCCTCGTAACAGTCACTGAAGGAGTGCCAGCTGGTTTGGGGAGAGGAGTAAAGGTAGCAGGATGGGAGTCTCATTAAGGACTCATGCCGCTGCTGCTTTTGCCACTCTGTGAGGACACTGGTCCTCAGAGGAACTGGCCAGGGGCTGCCCAGGGTGCCTGTCACAGCCTCTGTCCACTCTGGTTTGAGGATTTCTCTCCCAGCCAGCCCACACAGATTCCCCCAAATCCTCACAGAGCTTGGCATCCCCTGGTGAGAATCTAGAGATCTGCACTTCCCTGGCCTCCTCCTGGGAGGCAGTTTATGGGATGGAGAATCCTCCAGGGAGACCTTATTCAGGTGCCCTCCCTAGGGCTTTGCATGCATTCTCATTTCATCTTCCCAGCAACCCCACAAGCAGGGAACAGAAGCCTCATTTCATATGAGGAATCTGAGGATCACAGAAGCTAGTTCTGGTATTCGAATCCAGATCTGGCAGACTGCAGAATTCAAGCCCTCGACCACAAAGCTTTTCGATGGAGTATTTGTTCATCCACTTCCATCCAAACATTTGAGTGGCTTCCCAGTGGCATGTGCTACGCTAGACCTTCCCAGCAACTGACATGCACACATCTGGAGCGATACTTCTGATGATGGCTTATCTTTCTCCTCACCAGACAGCCTGCTCCATGAGAGGCAGGGGGCCATCTTTTCCCTGTTGTCTCCCTCATAACCCGCACAATATCAGACACATGGTGGTACTCAGTAGTACTCGGTAGATGTTTCTTAGTGCAACGACTAGAGGCAAGGGATGTAAGGTATAGCCTGTACCCTCAATGGGTCCATAATAAGTCACTGCAGTTCTTTGGGAGAAATCTACCCCTGGTGTAGGCATGGGGTGCTGAGGTGGCAGGAAGGACCAGGGATTCAGGGGAGGAATCTTAGAGGGAATGAGATTTAGGCAGTAAGAGTAGGACTCAGGCAGAGAGCGGGGCGGGGAGTGAAAAGAGTATTGCAAGAAGGAAAAGGGCACCGGGGTGTGAGATATGTCCACGAGTGGGGAATGCATTGCTCAGGCTGTCTGGGGTTCAGAGTCAGGGAGTAGATAAGACTGAGGTGAGAGGGGACCTTGCAGGCATGGCCAGGCCCCCTCAGGTCCATCCTGAACGTAGCGGGACAGTGAGAGCCATGGAAGTGTCTGGCAGGAGAGTGATGATCGAATGGGTTGCTCTCTTGGGTGAGCACCCCCCACTGCAGCATAGAGGATATACTGCAGGGAGAACGTGACCATGGCCACTGGGGGGGAAGTCTCTGCAGTGACCTGGAGGAGTTGTGATGGTGGCTGGTGGTAGCACTGTCAAGAGGGGTAAGTGGAACCTTGGGACACTTGGCTGATAGACTTAACAGCACCATGAAGTAAATTCAGCGACTGTCATTCAGGGGCACTTTTGCCCCTCATCCCAGGGGACATCTGGCAATGTGGAGACATTTTTGGTTGTCACAGTTGTGCTGGGATGGGGGTAGTTGTTGTTGGCCTCTGGTAGGTAGAGGCCAAAGAAGCTGATAAACACCTTACAATGCACAGGATGGTCCCCCATGACAAAGAGCTATGGACCCAAAATGTCCATAGTGCCGAGGCTGAGAAATCCTGGGATGACTGGGCTGGGTAGGGAGGATGAGCATTTCCACCCACTGGGATGGGAGATGAGGGAAGAAAGCTTGATGCAGAGAGAGGGAGGTGGTAGCAGCAGAGGGATGGAGACAGCTATGTGTGTGCAGATGTCCAGGAAACATTCAGAGCTGAAGTGTTTAGCTGCAATGGCCTGGTGCAAACTCATGCACAGATGAGGAAACTGAGGCAGACAGCATAACTCTCCAGCCCACTATAAGTGTCAGAGCAGGGTCTCAAATCAGCTTCCTAACTCATGGGCAACTACTCGTATCTTTGCTCTGTCCTTCTATGACATCTAGACCTCAAAGTCAAAGCTCTAGTGTCCCTGGATAAGAAGGGCTGGGAGGTCCACACAGCTTCATCCTACAGGGCTCCAAAGCCCAAGGAGGGTACAGAAGGTGGGACAGGCCTTTCCACGGGTGTCATCTTCTAGGGGTTTATATCAGGGTCCAGCTGTGTCTCTAGAAAGATCTTGTCCTCCTCCCAAGGCCTCCTGGGCATAGCTAGAGCCTCAATTCCATTCTCCACCTTACAAACACAAGATACTGCCTAAGGATGTACTTTCTGTGAGTTCCACAAAAGCTAACAATGTATCAGCCACCATTTAGTGTTCTTAGTACAGGCCTAAAAGTCAGGTGCCATTATTATCCTCATTTTATAGATGCAGACACTGAGACACAGAGAGGTTAAGTAGCTTATGCAAGATCACACAGCTTGTGCACATAAAAGTGGTACCAAAGTCTGAACCCAGGCACTGTGGCTCCACAGTCTAGGCTCTTAACTCCTGTCACACTATCTCTCCAATATACTGAGGCATAAATATGCCATGTCCCCACCCAAGGCAGGGGTCAAAGAAGGAAGGGGTGTTCAAGAACAAGTAAGAGAGGGGGTACACCTCCCTATGTGTGCTTTCAGAGGAAGTTCCAGTAGCCAGTCCCACCATCACCTCCCTCCACTGTCACCTCCCTGAGGTCCCATCCTCAAACAGCTGCATCTTCACTCTCACACCAACTGTTTCCTCCAATTCTCAGATAAATGGAGTAACACCCCAACCCTCCTCAACTGCTGGGTCCACTGTGCAGCTGAGGGTCCTGTCAGGGCCATTCTGCCTGGGGGCAACCAGAACCAGTAGGGCTGCCTCCCAGAAACTCTCTTAGGGGTGCTAAGGGGGTGGCAGCACCCGAGAATCCACCTGGCCGTGACAGCCGCTGAACATACACGTGATGTGACTCGCCTAAGGGTCTGATGTGGGGTACCCCTCACCCACATCCTGGTCCAGCAGGAGCCTGTGTTGGGGAGAGAGACCACAGTCCCCTTGCCTGGCTTGTCTGACCAGCTTGCCTGCTGCAGAGAAGAGAAGATGGTTTGACAACTGAGGGTTCCAATCCAACAGACCCTGAACTATCTCCTGGAGAAAAGCTGATCTCGGAGGATGTGGGAGAGGAAAGGGTCAGTGCTAGGGCGCTGTGGGACAGAGAAGACATGCTCCCAAGGGCTCATCTCAGCCCACCGGCTCCCCCAGGGAAGACAGACTGTGCTGCAAAGCCAGGGCTGAGGACCACAGAAGTCCCCAAATTCCTCTTCCCAGGAGAGTGTGGCCGTGTGGCTTTGTTATCTTCTTTCCTCGAACCCTCTAGATTGTGACGTATCATGCTTTTGTCCAAGGTTGTGAGCTGCCATGAGCACCTGTCACTCCCAATCACACAGCACACTCCACCTGCCAGCTCTGCACGGGTGACAGTGGGATGAGATCCAATAAGGCTGCCAGCCCCTGCCTGCTGCTGTCAAAGAACCCACAAGTCTGCCCCTTCAAAACAAGCTCCAGGTCCCGGGCAGGGAAGCAGGAGCTTCAGAGTCAAGCACCACCTTCGCACTGGACGAACCACCCTTTGCTGCCCAGGCTTGGAAATTTCAGCTCCATGGGAGTGAACAGTGTGGAATCCACATGCATGGAGAGGGAAGTTAGTATCCCAGTCTCCTGGGAGCTGGCTCACCCTTCCCTCTGAGCATCTCCTTGGGAAACCATGCATTTTCGAGGATCAAAAGGAGGAGGCTGGGTACAGGAGACCAAGGGCTGGGTGGAAGGGAAAGAGTGGCAGGGCAGAAGTCTTCAGCACCAAGGCTGATGAGAAAGCCCACCATCCTGGAGATGCGTGGGGCCATGGTTGCCAGGTGGTCACACTGTGGGGCATCTCCTGGGCTGGCAACCAGGAGACCTGGGTTCAAGCCCTGGGCTTTATTTCTCACATGGTCTGCAACCTTTGGCCAGTCCCTCCCTTGCTTGGTTTTCCCAGCAAAAATTCTCTAAGGCACGAATGTTTAGTAAAAACCTTTGGGGGTATTGGTTGAAATGCAGATTTCCCCATCTGGCCCCAGAGAGATCCATTGTAGGTCTGGGGAACCATCCAGGAATCTACACTTTAAACAAGGATTTTGGAGGCCTCAAATGCCAACTACATTGTGCAGAAACACTGATGTAGGTCAGTGGGAGGGCACCGAGGCAGGGATAGACAAGGTGTGCCGCCCTGAGAACCCAGAACCACACGCAGCCCACTCTGGCAAAACCCAAAGCTCTGGCTGAAAGACAGGGCCCAGCAGCTGTCCCACTCCATGGCCTGAGCACTGTCACTAGAAGCCTTTAAGGGAACTCTGGGCAGATAACACTCTGCTTTTTTGCTTTGCATTTTGTTTTTCATCTAGAATTCTATTATTTATTTGCTCCCCTGCCCACATACTTTCTTCTCCTCTTCCTTTTCATGTATATCAGGAGACTATTGGGAGCTACCGCTTTGTCCTGGCATTTTGGGGCATTTTGTGACAATTTGAGGTGGGGGCTGTTCTCTTGGGAAATCTGTCCCTGTGGCCCGCCCATGCCCTGCTGCACCACCGGGAATGGTCCAAGAAGGCTGAGCTGTTCTGCTCAGCTCTCAGGAGGCACACGCCACAGGCATAGGGAGATCAAGAGGAGTCCCGACCCAAGGAACCCAAGGCAGCTCCAGAAGAGCAGGTAAGAGCATAGGTTTCAAATCCTGATGCCTCCTAGCCAGATGGCTGTGGGCAAGGTACTATTCTGTGCCTCAGTTTCCTTACTTGTAAACAGTGAGATAATACTAATGTGTACAGAGCACTTACTCATGCCAGGCTCTGTTCTCAGTGCTTTATACACATGGACCTGTGTCAACCTTACACCATCCTTACAGCACAGACACCTCCCATGTCCCCATTTTATAAATGTGAACACTATTATGCAGCTAGTAACTGACATAAATGACACTCTGGCTTCAGAGTCCCGGTTTCTCATCGCTGTACTATACTGATTCTATCACCTGCACCTCATACAGTGAAATGAGCCTTTTAAACACTACTTGTGCATAACAAATGCACACCAAAATTGGCAGTGATTATTGTTATCGTTATTGTTTGCCCGACCCTCATTTTCTTCCAAAGTAGGATTTTCAGCCTGGGTGAACCAAGCAAATGCACCCACTCTTAGTTTCACCTCCGTGGGGGTGGTCTGAAAGAGATGGAGCCTGAATGAGTGATTCCCTGCTCCCTGTTCTCCTGCACGTGTGGCAAAATAGCAGACTCAGGACCACACTTCAGGTCTCCACGCTGTAGGCTGTGGGGACAACGATGCCCAGCCCTTACCTTCCCAGAGCACAGGGCTAAGGTAGGCAGGTGGGGGGGGTGGGGCACCTCTTCAGCCTCCACATGGGGACTTGGGGGCATTTGGGAGGCAGACAGGCCACTCTAGGCAGAAGATGTCTGCTTCTATCAGAAACTCCCAGGAACCCTATTCTTAGGGTGCTTTCTCTTGCTTTTAACTTTGACATCTTCCAGAAGTTACCCCCGCACAAAAGCAGCCCTGCCGTGGCTGTAATTTACACGTCACATCACTTGCTGTGTGCATGGTCCACCCCCTTCAACCCACTCCTGCGCTTGTACCTTCCCCTGCCCGCTCTGCAAAAATGGCTTCGGCATCATTCCAGCCACCCTCCTTCCACTCTTTCACCAGGAGACAAAAAGTGAAATGGGAAATTGACAGAGGAATGGGAGGTGGGGGAAGGGGGAGGAGGAACTTCAGCGAAATCGAATCTTTGGAACTTCCCCATTTCCAAACTGAGCATCACTTCTGCTTGGCGGCCCACATTACCATGGCAACAGCCCAGCCATGGCCAAATGCCCCAACTTGCAGCCCAACCTGGGAGGGCCCCCAGGAGCCACTTACTGTGATGGTGTTTTCTTTGCTCTGCTTTTTGCTTGGTGACGAGGATCCCAGGTTCTGGGGAGAGAGGCAAGAAACATCATCAAAGCTGTTCTCCATATTGGAGAGGTTTTTTTTCCCCATTCAGGTTCCCTGAGAGTGAAACGATTGCTTAAAAGCCCTGTGTTGGGGAAGTTGAGAGATGCTCAGCCTGTCGTTAACTCCTAAGTCACCATATTCTGGGCCAGGGCAGGCAGGAGTATCCCCGATCCCACACTGTTCCCATGCCTGTCTGGGGCTAAAGGCGAAGAGGAGAAAGCCTCCTGCACAGGCTCTGAGAGAACTGCTCCAAACCAGGTCTCCCGTCCTCTCCTCTCAGTCTGTGATTTGGGGAATTAACCCCTCCGCTGCCCTCTGCTGGCAAACGGTTCTGCGTGCTGCTTGCTGCCTGAAGCGACAGAACCCACTGGGGAGAGGAGAGTTAAGGCAGATGGCAGGCCACCACCTCCTGGCACCAAGGAACTCAGCACATGACATTTTATTCGGAAACCCCCGAGTCCAAAACATCAAACCCTAAATACACATAATGTGCACTGGGGCGCTGCTCCGTCAACTCCCTGACTCACCGCCCCCACCCTACTCCGTGAGCCAGGAGGGATTTCTCAGCCAAGCCGAGGCTCAGCTTCCATTCAATCTTTAGATTGCCTTTTTACATCTTTCCTGTTGCCAGCAAGAAATCCAGAGTCCCAAGTCCCTCCAAGACTTCAAGTCCTCAGGAGCTTGTCAAAGTCCTAGGATTATTCTGGTCAAGACAATTAAGGATGGCCAGCAGAAATGACACTTTTGTCATGAAAGTTCATATCTCTAAACAGAATGTTCAACTCTGGGTCTTTGTTGTCGTATTAGCAATTACTGTAGGGATTCAATATCAGAGGTCCCTGTTTCCTGTCCCAAGCCACACAAGGACCTGGGAAGCAGGCTTACCTCTAAGGCACTGCAGATGGCCATCCTGCGTGTGCCCCAGGACTTACACACAGTCTTGCTCTTTCCTTGATGGAATGTAAGGATGTGGCTGTCACTTTATAGATAAAGGCCAGAAAACGCATGGAGTGACTTCTCCAGCAAGCCTTGGGGAACCAGCAGCGCCCTCGCTTCCCCCCTACTCTCAGGCCAGCACAACTCTGGACACCTGGCTGAATGTACATCTGTAGGTGGGGGGCAGCCCCATATCAGCAAATCAGATAAAACAGGGATTTTGACTGAGTCTCTGCTAAGGCCTCATTCCCTTCCTCCCACCCAGCTTTGCTTGAACTGGTAAGTAAAGTCAACTCATAAAAACTAGTATCTTTAGAGAGTCCAGCACAGAGGAACCTTATCGAGCATCCCTTTCACAGATGAGAACATGATTACTAACCTTGAGACCCTGGCCAAGGAATTTTACTTCTTTAAGCCTCAGTTTCACCATCTGTAAAATTGATTGCTATTACTGATCCTCAAGATTTGAGGTGCATCAGAATCAGCTGAGGAATGTGCCCAAAACAAGAATCCCAGCAACAACTCCCAGTTGCTGGACTTGATACAGCATGTCCTGGGTGGTGACAGCACCTCTGATGCAGAACCCAAGGACCTGACTTGGAAGCACAATGATCTGATTATCCCCTCTATGGTATTATTTGGGGTGCTTCTACTTATTGCAACTCCTCTAGCAACCCTAACAGGCTTTTGGGCACTGTCAAGCTTCTGGCCAACTACAACTTATCCAGGTGGCCCACCCTGTAGCCCTTCTAAACTATCAGCTCTGCCCCAGGGCACTTGCCTAAACAGCCCAGAGAGGAAGGCAGACAAATGCTGCATGACAGGAGGTGCCAGGCACCAAGAAGAGATGGGCACAGGAGTCTCTCCACAGGTTCCCTCATGCAGAGACACTGGCCATGCAAATACATGCCAGGAAGGAGGAAGGGGAAGCTCTGGGATGGATCTTGTAGTCTTCAGGAGTCTCCCTGTCACAGGCACATATTACCACCACCACCATCGCCATACTCCTGCTGTAGACCCCAGAGAGGGCAACTCGTGCTCCTGCAGCCTTGGTAACAGCCTTCAAGTCTACATATTAATGCTGATAATGACAGTGATGAGGAGATGAGGAAGATAGCCACGAGGGGGGACATGATTCAAGAACTACCATCCATTGAGTGCTTGGTTATTATGATAGGCACCTGGCTAGTCCTTTGACATACTTAATCTCATTTGATCCTTACAACTGCAGCCAGTTAAATGGCATTGACTCCATTTTACAAGTCATAAAACAGGCCTAGAGAAGGCAAATTGTCCAGAGTGACAAGGCTAGTAAACAGAAGCCTGTATAACTCTTTCCTCCACCTTATGCCTTCTCTCTACTTTGAGATCTGGGAAAATATCTTGTTTTCCAGGTGTCTTTGCAGTAGGGCAAAAAAGAGTTCCATCATTCACAAACATATATTTTAGGACCACTGAGTAGAAGCCTCTATAGAATGAGGCTCGACATGGAGTCACACCTCCTCCCTATGACTTGGCCAGGATAGGAATACAGATGATAATATTGGGGGCAGGTGCTCTATGTGTGAATGTCAGCACCTTCCCTGATCTCTGCTCTATCAGCAGTGTTTGACTTCAACCACTGTGGACCAGGGTGGGTTACAGGCAATCTCAGGCTCTGTTGATGAACCATGCCTATTATTCCAACTTCATATATATATTTTACATATATATAAAAAACATGCAACACACACACACACACACACTCTCACACATATACACACACACGCACACACACACACACACACACAAACACCCTCATAACATTCCACTCAAAGGGCCTAGAAGGACTAACACCCCATCACAGTGACAACATCTACCAGCTAGAAATTGGCTTCTAAATACTATTTGCCACTTAAAGGAACCCAGGTTCCTTTTCGCTAACTCCAAATGCAAGGTAGACTGGGAATATCCTATTGTGCCGGCAGTTGAGAAAGTATTCCAAGAATGATGGAGCGATAACAAAGGACACAGTCAGCTTAAAGGGATTCCCACAGGCCAAATCTGGGGATAATTTGAGCACAAATATGAATAATAACTACAAATGATTAACTCCAAAGGGGAAGGAGAGGCCATTTGTTTACAGAAGAATGTTAATAAAAACTTACAAGGAATTAGATGATCATCCCTTGCAAACCCCAGTATCAAAAGAAATTCAGGCTATGGCCATCATGGATGCTCAACACTGGATGAAAAGACTGTTGGTGAACAGGATGTTTACATGATCTCACACAAGCACCTGCAGATTACTGACAAATTAGAAAGGGAAAATGTACCTACACAAAAGGGAAAATTGGTAGTCACCCCATTAACGAAGAGCACAAACTGAATCTTACCAGCAGGGTGCTAACCTGGGAGGGTGTGCCTCCAGATGAAACGCAGTAAAAAGGAACTCAACACACCTGTAAGGTATTCTTGTCAAAACTGCTTAAATTGGAGATAAGATTAAGATGGCCGACATGAGACAGTTAAAGTGAGTTTCTCCTACAGAATAAACCAAGATATGAGTTTCTTTAGCACTCAGAGAGGAATGGGCCCAGCAGTACATCCCATGACTTTCCAAAAAAGAGATAATAACCACTCAGAGCAAAGAGGAAGAAAAAAATTCATTGACCTGGGCTGGAACTGGCCAGACTCTGGCTTGCATCAACATAGTCCACCACAGCCTATGGACACAGTGAGAAAGGTGAGTGAGGGGAATTCAGGAGTTCTGAGCTCCTGCTTTGAACTTGCATGGTTCCCTGAGCCTTCCAGGACTCCAGTCCCTCACAGAAAATGCCTTACCCACAGCCATGCTCTGCTGTGGAATGGTGCAGTAAAAAAGCCTTGAGCAGTGCTGGCTACCATTTCCCAGGAACTCAACCCTTGTGGGTGGAGCAGCCACCTTCCAGTCAGCCTGTAGGGGATGGTCCCAAGGGCAAACTCTGCAGCTGCAGACAGTCCCTGGCTAGGTGAGTTGCCTGAGAACACCTGAAGCCCTGAGGCTGGCTGAACTCTGACATTTAGGTCATAGATTACCTGAGGCCAAGGTGGGAGCCAGGGTGGGACTCTGCCATAGCAACCTCTCACTCCATTTGTGAACTCTTCTGTGTTTACCCTGCACAGCAGTGCGCTGGGGAGGGGGGAGCGCCCCTGAGACTCCTTCCCAATCCCCACTAGGGTAACCAAGAGTACACATTTGTGGGGTGCTTCAGGTCCCTTCCCCTGCACTCCCCTTGAAGGCCCAAAACAGAGAACTTGGGGAATCTCCAGAACCCCTCCCATGTCCTGGGCTGGCTAGGTACTTTCTTGAGGTAACACTCACCAAGGAGAAACCTTACAGGCACCATCGTACCCGGCTTTCTCCCATAAGCACCATCTCCTGGCCGGAGGTCAACAGTATAGCCCACCACACTGGATATAATATTTTAGCTTTTCAGAAGGCCTAATCCCAAACCCCAGCTAACACCACTTTCTAGGCCACTCTGGCCACTCAGGACACTGTGAGTCAGTGCAGGTACCCAGCACAAAACTGTCACAGCTGGCAATTGAGAAACTCACCTCACACCAAGGCTATACATAACCAAGGGACCCCTACAGCGCCTATGGCAGCCCCATGCCAACCTCTAATAAGAATAGTCTAACCCAAATGAGAAGGAACCAGAAAAATAATTCTAACAATATGAAAAACAGGGTTCTCCAACACCCCCAAAAGACCACCCCAACTCTTCAGCAACAAACCCTAACCAAAATGAAATTTTTGAAATTCCAGACATAGAATTCAAAAGGTTGATTATAAAATTGATCAAAAAACTTCAGGAGAAAATTGAAAACCAACTTGAAGAAATTTTTAAAAAACTGATTCGGGACATGAATAAAAAATTTTCCAAAGAGATACATACCTTAAAAGAAAAAGAAAGAAAGTCAAAATTCTGGAAATGAAAGGATCACTCAGGGAAGCACAAAATGCAGTAGTGGAAAGTTTTAACACCAGACTAGAACTAGCAGAAGAAAGGATTTCAGAA